AATTACGATAAATGTATATATTCTAATTGTTAAAATCGCGATGTGCAAGAAGTCCTATCCTGATCTAATACATACAAAACCTGAAAAAATGTCACAGGTATAAAAAATACCCGCTAGTCACTATGCTCATCAAAAATTCTACGTATACAACCAGTCACCCGTGCCGATTCGGACTTTTCATCCTACGACATGTTGAGTGACTAGAGGAACAAAAATGCATGCGACTCACATAATAGATGTAAAGAACGTTATCATCGATACTGCAATGGAGCCAGGAAAATTATCGTGAAGACCTTCGTCAAATAGATATCACTGAAAATTCCATGGTGGAAGTGAACGCTGTGAAAAATTTTCTGAAAACATAAAACATTTTGTTTCTAAAGACATAGTATTATTTGTAAAAATTTAAATTTTTATAATGATAAAAATTGGGACTAATAATTTGATATGTTTTTATTTTATAATTATACATTTTACATTTGACTTCAATAGAAACTATACAGAATAGAATTCAAATGCAATAAGCTAAAGTACTTACATATTTAGCTTTTGAAGCATCATAAGATCTTTAGAAGATTAGGGGAAGTGAAGAGTGTAGAAAATCTGTAACAAAACATTAAACATTAGAATTTATGTTTAAAAGCAAAGCAAAATCTTAAGTTGGAGATAATGAAAGATTCTTACATTCTTGACTTTAGAGCCACCGTTGGATTTTCCCCATAAAAATTAATGCTGATGTGAAGCATCTGTAACAAAACGTCAAACATTATACTTTATTGTTAAATTTGAAAAATTGAATAAATTGAAGTACAATATATAAAACTACTTACGATCTTGATCTTCTGGAGAAGCCTTATCCTCTTGAGCACTGACTCTAATACCGGAAACGAGTAATGAACAAGAAAAATTTTGAAAAAAGAAAAATAAAAGACTATCAACGTGCGCGTTTAAGTAACAATCGGCGGACTCATTGACTCTAACTTCGCGAATTTAAATGAATTAATAATTTAATTTAGCAAGAGCCATTTTGCTCAGAAAAATGTAAAAATATTTCGCAACAAACACTGACTCTACTGACCGCATTGCACGCGGTCACAAAAATTTTCTGAAAATAACACTGATTAGTACAGGAAGAGCAAAGAGTACGTTCATTTAGAAAATACTGCTATTTTTCTAGAAAATAATTATAAAGAAATTTGAGTATGTATTAAAGATATTAATTAGAAATTATAAAATATTTCCCAATATTTGCAGAAATATTCATTTAAAATTCTGAATATTTATGGAAATAATTACGAAATTACGTATTGTGAATTGTATATCAAACATATATAAATGACATAAATGAATAAAATATTACCAACTTTCCGTGAAAGTTCATCAGATTGTACCATTAATCATCTGGCGTCTATACAGTCTGTGCTATCTTTGCAATCAAAGAACAACCTACACAAAAAGGAATCAAAAGTCAGAACAAATGCGTCAAATGTGTAAAAATGATAATCAACTTTAAATTCTATTAAAAAAACAGACATACGAGACAAGCTATCGATAACCGTACGAATCAAATCGACGATTGAAAAAAAATTGGTGCGAATAGTTTCAAAGCACTAAACGATTTCTAGTTATCACAGTGCTCGCTAATTCGTTAAACACACATTAATTAAATGATACTATTAATTAATGAGATATAAATGGAAGTAAGGCATCGAAGAAGACGCTATCGATAAATTAGAAGAAATTACGAACCTAATGCGACGTAATACGTGTTGCTGTTACGAAATTCAACAGCCGAATGACTATCTGCGACCTCTCCTGTCTCGCAAATGAGAAAATAATAAGGGATAGAGATATCCTGAACAAACAGGCACGATAATTAAGACGAATAAACATTGTGTTGACTTCTCGCGACAAGTCTCGACACGTTTAGTCGAAAGTCTTTATTTGCGACGCCGAAGAAACAAGTGTAAGCCTTACGTACACACATAAACGTTATGTTGTTTTGAACTACGAATTTCGAGTTTTAAGGTCTTGTACTCCTTACTTTATGTGATAAGTAAAAACTTCTATTATATTACGCAGCAAAATTATTATTTTAACTATTAAATACATACTTAATCTTAATAAATTATTGTTGAATTTAATATAAGAATTGTTAAGAATTACGTAGTATGAAGTTAAAGAATCAACATATAAGTAAATAAAATGTTATAATGGAAGTGTATAAAGATGTATAATAAAATACATGTATGTATATACACATATATATACATATGTAACAATTGGTCAATTACACTATTTGTACTGGTTGAAGTGTTGAAATTGAATTTTGATATAAAATTATAAGTAACTTTTAGCATAGTATGTTCTGTTTAAATGTTTATATGCTATTATTTCTTT